AAATCAATGCCTGCTTTGCCCAGCTCGCCCTTCAGCCGCGACCGCTCGGAGCGGCTGCCGGCGGCGGCGCACCGCTCAGTGAAGAAGTCCTTGAACTCCTCCCAGAACACGATGGAATGGCAAAAGAACTTGATCTCGTGGGAGTAGCCTGACTGAACGGCGATGGCGACGCGCGCCTGTGGATGTGCTTCACAAAACCTTTCCCACGAGTTGAAGCGCGACTTCAGCTGCTTAGCTTGGTTAGCTGCACCGCTCAATAGCGGCGTTGGACCTAGAGCCTTGCTGCCGGACTGGGCACCATGCTCATGTGTGCTCATGGGGGTTGAGTTCGTTGGAAAAGCGTATTACGGTTGCTGGGATGCCAACAGAACAAACGGGAGGGAGAATGATGCATGATTGAGGATGATGTCCCCAATGACCCTCCAGGTGGGGGGCCATCATGCCCATCATGGGGCACATCCTTACCGGGAGGCCTACCTGGCGTTGCATAAGGCCTGCTTGCCCGAGCTCTTGGGAGTTGCAGGATACAGTGCCAGGCGCGCTGCAGCGCCGGACCCAGGTATCCAGCAGGTTTTACTTGCCAAAGAGCACGGGCGGGCGGCATCCCGTCAGCGCCGCCCCGCCCCAGCGCTGGCAGCCGCCGCCTGGCGCGGTCGCGCCAGGCGGGGTGTGCGTTTACCCTGCACCTGGCCAGCCCACCGCGCCCGAAGCTGGCAGTTCTAGAGAAAGCATGCAGCCATGGTGAACGTTTACACATGAGGCTCCTCAGCCCATGCATGCTGGTGGACGAGAGAGCCGGGGAGGGGCCACTTATTCAAACGAGTGAATCAGGGAATGAACCGCAAGGAATGAAAGGACACTACAGAGGGGACTGGGGCGATCTATTGGCCACAGCGGGGGACGCATGCACACAGGGCGCAAACAATGCAATGCCTGGCAGCGCAATGAATTAAGAGGTCAGCGCATACGTACAAGGGGTTGCGCGCAGTACACTAAGGCAGCGAGTATTAGCGGGGGAGGTTGGTGGGGTTGGTCAATATTAGCAAGCAACGTAGTAGAGGAATGAATTCACGGTATCCAGGATTGGGTGCAAAAGTGAGGGGCCCGCAAGAATGGTGCAGGCCGTGGTATCATGGGGTGGGCACATAAGCACCCGCTGCAGCTACTCGCGGAGCCTGCATCTGAAGTGAAGGGCTGGGTCCGTGGCAGCCCGCCGCCGCTGAGAGGAAAAAGCTGGCGGGCGGCCGGAGAAGCCGGGCCAAAACCGTATCAAAAATTGAACAGCACGGTGCCGTCGGGCTGCTCGTGCATGTGGCCGCAGCACGAGGGCAGGTCCCAAAACATGATGCTGCCGTCTGGCAGCTGCTCCCCAATCCATCTGGCCTCACCGCCCTCGCCGCCGGCGCCGCTGGCGGCCGCCGGCCCTGGCGGCGGCGACGGGGGCGTGCTGGCTGCGCCGCATGCTGCCGTCTCTCCATCCATGCTCTGGCAGCTGCAGCAGGAGGCCAGGGTGGGGTAAGCGACCAGGCATGAGGGCATGAGGCCTGGGAGTGAACGACTCGGCACGTCGAGTCAAGCAAAGCACCCCCCCCCCGCACCTCAGCAACTCCTGCCACTTGGCCCTGCCCAGCGGCTTCCATTCGGTCTGCGAACCAGAACATGATGCGAGCTGAGCAACAGGGTGCGGGGTACGGGCACAGTGTTGCCACGCAATGGCTCAGTCTAGGGCGGGGGCAGCAGGCTGGCCTCGCGGCGGCGGGCTTGGCGGGGCGCCCCACCTGCCCAGCGCTGGTCAGGGAGTGCACGGCGCTGATAGTGACGCATGCACGCCGGGGGCGAGCCGCTGCGCTGCGCAAGGTGGCGGGGAGCGCAGCTGCTCGCGCGGTTGCAAGCTGCGTCATGGTACCCTCGCCCTTGCGCTTGCGACGTCTCTGATGCCCTGGAGATCACTGTCCTGGGGGAGGAGGAAGCGAAGCGAAAGAATGCAAGCGCTGCACGCCACCCCGCCGTTTGTGGCGGGGGTTGCGCCTTGCCCCCATGCACCCAGCGACCTGCACCCAGCTTCATACAAGCGCAGGCGAGATTAAATGGGTATGTGGAAGCAACGAAACGTCGCAGAGCGGCAATGTGCGTTGGGAGGGCCGTGCCATGGAGATGCCCGCCCGGCCGCCCGCCGCCCCGCCGCCAGCGAATGGCACGCTGCTCCATGCTTGCCGTACCCCTGTGCCCCTCAGATGTCCGGCAGGCCCGCCGCTGCCAGCTCGGCCTCTGCGTGCGGGTCGACATAGTTCGGGGGCGCCGGGCAGGGCGCCGATGCGACTGCTGCCTGCACGGCACATGCGGGCGGCACAAGGGCACAGCCGAGAGGCCTCCTTAGGCGGCACGCCTGTGGCAGCATGCTCTCTCAAGGCGACAGAACCCGGTATCCACTGGCAGGCTGCTCGGCAATGCATGCAGCTGGCCTGCGAAGGGCGGCGCCGTGGCGGCGAGCAGCAGCAGCTGCAGCAGCGGACCTGTGCCTGGGTGCGGCTTCTCGGCCACATCCGCCGTAATAGTCAGGCCCTGGCCTCAACCCGGGCTGCCTGCAGGGTGGGCCAGGGCGGCGTGGCGGGGCGACTTCACTTGGTCCGCAGGTGAGAGGAGAAGAGCACGGCAGCGACAGCAAGCGCGCTGCTGCCTGGCTGCAGAGGCTGCCACGCCAGCAGCAGCCCTGGGGGCCGTGGGCTGCCAGCAGCTACACCGCCAGCCTCACGGCCCACACCCTCGCCCGCCGCCTCGGCCGCCACGCCGCCCGCAGCACCGCTCCCGCCCAGCTCGCCGCCGCCTCGACCCGTCCCCGCCTCGGCCTCTGAAGCCAGCATGTCGGGTGTCATGATGCCCGCTGTCCTGTCAGCAACACCAGTAGCAGCGGCAGCAATTGCAGCACGAGCAAGTGTTGCACTGGAGCGCTCGATCGGATGAGACGTTCAGGTGCAATTGACGCAGCGGCGAGGGACAGGCTGCTCAGCAAGCCCCGCCTCTCGGCCTGCCCCATCAGCGGCACCGGCGGCACGTAGCCGCCTCGAGCGCGCAGCTCTGCATCAGCCGCCGCCGCCTCGGGCTCCCTTGGATCAGCGGGGCTGCAGGGAAGGCAGGCAGGCAGGCTAAACGCAGCTTGGCAGACAGGCAGGGACAGGGCCGCGGCCTGGCGGCGCACAGGTGCTTGCCTGCCAGCCCTGGCGCCCAGTGCCTCCTGGTCTGCCCACATCTCTGCACACCTCGGCAGGCGGCCGCTGTCGTACCAAGCGAAGCACACAGCAGCCTGCCATCAAATACGGCATTCCTAACTATAGAGGGGCAATCCATGGCAGAGCATCGTGCAGGGTGGAAAGAAGCAGGCTCATGACTAGGCACACACCAGGCCATCTTTCACTCAATCGTTGTCCCATTGCTCTCTTGAGCCAACATCGGCCTCTGCCTGCCCCTCTTCGTCTCCTCCGACACCTCCAGAGGCAGTACCCCACTCCCTACCCACCCAGCAGCTCCCAGCCCCCTCCAAGGCGCCCCAGGCGGCCCAGCACAGCGCCCAGGCGGCCATGGCGACAGGCGGCGGCTCCCAGGGTGAGCCGGGCGGCCGCGGCGGCTGCGAGCGCCTGCCGCCGCCTGCCCCCGTTGTGCAGAAGCTCCCTTCTCACCCTGCCCTCCTCTTCTCTCAATCCCATCTGCTCTTTCCTTGGCTGGCCATGGCTGCCGCAGGGCCGGAGTTCGAGGTTCACGTGCTGGGGCACCCCAAGGGCGGCCCCGAGGGCCACGAGGGCCAGCTGGGCGCATGTGGGGCCGGCTGCCGCTCGCCTGCCGCCGCCGCCTGCCGCCACCTGCCTGCCAGCCAGCCTCGGACACCCCTGCAGCCTGCCACCAGCTGGTGCACCACGCACGCGTCTGCACTTATGCGGATTGGAGTGGGGTGGAGAAGCAAGATGGCTGGAGATCCGCCCCTTGCACCCGCCGCCGCCAGCTCTTTGTTTAGATTGTTGGCTGTTAACAAGGTTGCCGGCGCCACCGCGCAGGCCCCTTCTCCCACCGCGTGCTGCTGCTGCTGGAGGAGCGGGAGCTGCCCTACACGGTCGACTTTGTGGATGTGGCGCGCAAGCCAGACTGGTGGGTGGCGCCTGGGGTGGGGGCGGGAGCTGGCCAGGTGTACAGCACCATCATTGCTGGTGATGACGGCGCCGTGCGGCGTGGTGAGGGTTGTGTGCGCAGGCCAGGGCTGGCCGTGTGGGGTGGGGTGGCCCTGGGCCGGGCCTGGAGGGAGGGCCGGGCCTGGCGGGTGTGCGGCGCTGCTTCCAGGCGGCGCGGCCCTTGCTGCTGCTGCCGGCGAGCTGTGTTCCCCCAGCTCCCGCGTCGAGCCGTCCTGCCCTGGCTCCTCTGCGGCGCCACCTCCTCCTAGTCTTAGTCGGAGATGTGGAAGTTGAGGCTCCGCTGAGGGGGCTGGACAGAACGGCTCGAAGCGGGGCTGGGGGTCCCGCCCTTCAAACGCAAGCTACCCGACACAAAGCGGGGCCTGCCGGCGGCGAAACCCACGCGGGCCGGCCGGCTGGCGCGCTCTCTAGCCCCTCCTGCTGGCCCGCTCGCCTGGCTCCCACCAGGACTCCGAGTCCTGGGAGGCCCCTACACATCACAGCATCATCACAGCTCCTCCGGTCCGCCTCCCTGCAGCTCCCGTTCTGCCGCCTCCCCTCCCGCTCCCGCAGGGTGACGGAGACCAACCCTGAGGGTACCCTGCCGATCCTCAGGGACTGTGCCAGCGGGCAGCTGCTGCACGACTCAGACGCCATCTCGGGTGCGCCTGCCGGGGGTGCTGCGCCTGCTGCGTCTGCTGCCGACGCCGCCTGCTGCTGCCGCTGCTGCTTCTGCGTGTGTGTGATGCCATCTCGGGTGCGCCTGCTGCCGCTGCCGCTGCCGCTGCTGTGTGTGTGTGTGTGTTTGTGATGGTGGTATGTGTCGGGATGGAGTGGGCGTTGGGGGGTGGCCAGGCCAGCGGCTGCGGCCGGCGGGCAGCCGCTGGCCGGCTCTGGGGCCCACCCAGATGTGGTGTGCCCTGAGTGTGTTGTAGGTGATGGTGTGAGGCGTGTGCGAGTGCTGCCAGGGTGGGGGCTGCTGCACCGCATGTACCGCCTCATGGTACCGCCTGCTGTACCGCAGATTTTCTGGAGGACAAGTACGGCGGCGGTGACGGCAAGCGCTCGCTGCGCAAGCTGGGCGACTGTCCGCAGCCGTGAGCCTGCCCGCTGTGTCCGCTGTGCCTGCTGTGCCCGCTGTGCCTGCTGTGCCCGCTGAGCCTGCTAATCGAAGCTTCTGCACCGGTTTGGGCTGGTCTGGGCGGGGCTGGGGATGAGCTGAGACAAGCCCTGATGCCCCTCCCAAGTCGCCTGCTACAAAGTAAGGCGACTGCATTGCACCATTCCTCCCGCCGCCGCGCCCCGGTGTGCAGGGCGCCGCAGCTGTGGCCCAAGTTCCTGGCCTACCTGGGCGCCGAGGCCGGCAGCCAGGAGGAGGCGGCGGCGCGGCGGGAGCTGGAGGAACAGCTGCAGGCGAGCCCCGCCTTGCTGCCGTGAATAGTAAATCCCTCTTGGTTGCTGCCACGTGCTGCTGCTGCCGCTGCCGCCGCCACCGCTGCTCCTGCTCAACAGCCGCTGCCAGCAGTGCTGGGTTGGAGCCCACACCAGGTGCCCTCTCCCTGCGCCTCGCCACGTCCGCGGGCAGGGCTCCTCATAAGTGTGCGGCTTGCCTGGCGGGTCATGCTGCCTGCTGGCCAGCCAGCGCAGCAGCTGGGTCAGCACAGCAGTCGCCGGCTGGCCTCTTCGGGACGCTGCTGGCGCGGCACACGCGGCTGCCGTCGCGTGATGGCATTGGCCTTTCCGGAACTGCTTCAGCAGGGGGCAGGCTGCCTGCAGCCGTGCTGCGCCCTTCCGGACTGGGCCGCCATTGCAGTGGGCAGCTGCTGCCTGCGCCACAGGGCTTGCCGCGGTGCAGCTCAACCAGCACCGGGGCCCCCAGGCCGGGCCTGGGCGGAAGCACTGCGGAAGATGGGTGTCTCAGCCCTCCCACCCAGGACACTTCAAAGTGCCGAGGGTGCACAGATTCATGCACCCTCATCTGCTCGGCAGCGTGATTGGCAGCACGTGCCGCGTCTGCAGCCGGTCCAGCGCCCAGCGGCGGCGCATGCGGCCGCTACCGCCGACCGCAGGCGCAGCGCTTGGCGGCGGATCGGGGGAGCAGCTGCTACACTGTTGCATGCGACGACAGCATGCATGCCCTGCATGCGTGGCAGGCAGCACCTCGGGCCGTAGGCCTGGCACCCGCCAGCCCACACAACCCTCCATGGAAGCTGGAAACGCGGGTGGCGGCAGCCGCGGCGCAGCCGGTGCCCTCAGTGCAGGCAGCACAACTATTGCGTTTGGTTGGTGATGCCGCAGAGTGATGGCGCACTGCAGCGCTGCCTGCATCCCTCTGCGCCAGCATTCACCAAATAGAATAGCGGTGCTGCCACCAGTGAGGGCCCCAGCCGCCCTCTCCAGCCTTCTCCTGTGTCGCGGCCATGGTTGAGGCTTTCCGCATGCATGTGTGCGGCGTGTGCACAGGCGACCCTGCCACTGCCCAGCCAGCTGGGGTGGGCTTGCACAAGGGCGGCACCGGTGAGCCGCTGCCGACGGGCTGTGCCACGGGCTGCGGGTGTGTGCGCGGGCAGCAGGCCAGAGCTGGCCGCCTGGATGTACATCACATGCGCGGGAGAGGAGGCAGGCGCCCGCCACTTTCTGTATCGGGTTTGAGCAGCGAGGCGGCGCTGTATCACATGCAGCTCAGGAGCCCACCAGCCGCCCGCGTGGCCAGGACTGCCGTTGCTGCTGGGCCATGCCTGCTCCTCAGTGCGGCGGCGGGGCGCGCGCAGCACCCGCGACACGGTCACGGCCCCAGCTCAGCGGCAGCAAAGGCAGCCGTAGCCGGGCCCCGCCGCCTGCCCACAGCTTTGCTCCGGGCCTGCCACGTATGCTCCACACTGCAGCTGCGCTTTTCAACCCCCCATTCGCTCCCCATGCCAAGGCAGGACCCTTCCAAGCTGCTGCCTACCCCAACGTAACTTCCCCTCCACGTCGTGCCCCCCCCACCACTGCAGATGGCTGAGGATGCCCTGCCAAATGAGAGCCCCTATGTGGGCGGCAGGGAGGTGTGCGCGTATGACTGCGCCCTGGCGCCCCGCCTCTACCTTGCCCGCCGGGGCTGCTCCCTGCTCAAGGTGCGCCGGCCGGTGGGTGGCTGGCCTGGCCAGGCCCATGGGCCAGGCAGGCCCGGGGTCGGCCCGGCTGGCTTGGCGGGCTATGGCCCCTGCAGCGCAGCAGGTGGCTGACGCTGAGCCAGGCGGCCTGCCTGCTGCTCGGCCCAATTTGCGCCTGTCGCCGCTCCCGCCTCGCGCTCTTGCGTGCGCGTGTGCGGTCCAGCCATTCTGCCGACCTTGGCTGCCATTCTTTGCCGTGCTCTGCCTCGCACGCCTCTGCTTGCCTTATGCAGGGGTGGGACTTTTGCGGTGAGGGGTACGGCAACCTCAAGGCCTACCTGCACCGCATGACGGGCCGCCCCTCCTGGCGCAACACCGCCTCCTGGGACGACGACTGCATCGCGGCAGACCTGCGCCGCAAGATGCCGCAGGCGTGAGGCCCAGGTCAAGCAGCAGAGCGCGCAGGGCAGGCGGCGGCGATTCGGCGGCTGTTGGGGCACCGTGGCGGCGGGCGCAAACCTGGCAGCGCTGCTATGTGCTGTTCTGTCGCTGTGCTGCCAGTTGTGTAAACACGATAGAGAGGTGGAGGTGAAGAGGAGGGCCCCCCTTGGGACAAGGAGGATGGCTGCGCGGCGCCCGCCTGGCGCCGCCACCTCGCCCAAAACCGGGTTCAAGAGGGCTCGCGGCGGCCAGCTGTGGGCCTCTGCAAGATGATAATAGACGGCTCGCGGCTGGTTGTGACAGACAACAGCGGCGCCAAGGAGGTCGAGTGCATCAAGACGCGGGGCCGCTACGCCTCCATCGGCGACGTCATCACCTGCTCCGTGAAGAAAGCGATCAGGGGCAAGGTCACGCAGGTGCGCCGGAGGGGGGTGCACGGCATGCCGCTGTTGGCCTCTTGGGCACCCCCTGGCCGGCCTGTAACGCCCGAGGAACACTGATGCACGGGGACGCGGCCAGGCAGCAGCCCTGGGCAGGGCCCTGCGCACGTCTTGTGCCCTCGCCGCCGCCGCCGCCGCATGCCCCGCCGTGCCCAGGCGCCTTCCATCGGCGTGCCGACCCCTCCCCCGTGCTGCTTGCCATGGCCGCAGGGCCAGGTGGTCAAGGCGGTGATTGTGGAGACGAAGAAGGAGGTGCAGCGGAAGGACGGCAGGTGCGGGCATGGCTGGGTTGCGGCAGCTTGTCTCGCTTGAGGGCGTCCCAACGCAGCGCAGCAGACGCGCCGCAGGCTGGGCCGAGCTGAGCCGCATGCCACACTACACTCACTTCCACCGCCCGCCGTCATCGGCGTTGAGCTCTCTTCCCTCTCCCCCTGGTCTCAACCGCCTGCTGAACCTCCTGCCTGTGCCGCCCGCCTGTACCGCCCGCCTGTACCGCCCGCCCGTACCGCCCCGCAGCGTCATCAAGTTTGACCGCAACTCGTGCGTGCTGGTCAACCCCAAGGGCCTCCCCATCGGCACGCGGGTGCTGGGCTTCGTCACTCACGAGCTGCGGGCGCGGCAGATGATGAAGGTGGGGAGAGGCTGTGGGTGGTGGTGATGGTGGGCGGCTTCGGCCTGTGGTGGAGTGTTTGTGGCGGCGGCCTGTTTTGGGGTGTGTGTGGTGGTCTGGGTGACGGGGTGTGTGTCCCCATCGTGAGAAGGACCCACGCCAGATGCCCAGGCCCTGCCCACCTGCCTGCCTGCCTGCCTGCCTGCCTGCTGTTCAAGCAATCGTGCTGGCGGCAAGTGGCTTCTCGATTGTTTGCTCGCCGCGTGTGGCCGCCTCACCTGCAGGTGCTCTCGCTGGCGGCACGCGTGTTCTGAGCAGCAGGCAGCAGCAGCAGCAGCAGCAGCAGCAGGGGCAGCACCCTCTTCCGGCAGCCGCAGGGGCACCCCAGCCTGGGGCGCTAGCCTCCTGGCAGCTGGCCGCGGTCTTTGAGGCTCTACTCCTGGCAGCAGTGCCGTAACAGAACCGCGGCAGTGGCAGCAACAGCGGCAGTGTCAGCAGCAGCCCCGTCCGCAGCCAGATGGGCTTCCGGGTGGGCGATAAGCTGTCGCTGGCCATCCTGGGCCTCTGCTGCGGCGGCACCTTCATCGGCCTCGCCCTCACCAGCATCGCCAAGCACAACGGGCAGACTGGGCCGCCCGAGAAGCCGGACTGGCCCTGGCTGCAGGACGCAGAGGCCAAGTTCGAGCAGCGCATGGCGCAGCTGAATGCGGGAAGCACAGGCGGTACCGCCGGCGGCGCCGGCGGCGGAGGCAACAGCAGCGGTGGCGGCAGCAGCAGCAGCAGCGGTGGCGACGGCGGCAGCGGCGCCAGCTGACGGCAGCCGGCCGTGCAGCGGGGCATGTGTTGGGCGGGTGAGCGGCAGGCAGCCGAGCCTGCACCGCTCACCTTTTTCAGGGCTGTGTTCTTCGTTCAGGCGAGGAGCTCTGAGAGCTGCGCCATGCCTGCCCCCGAAGTGCGCCGCCCGTTCCTGGCAGCCCCTGGAGCCTTCCCTCGCTGTCTGCTGCTCCTTATGCTTGGTCGATGCATCGACATTGCATTGCATGCAACTGCAATTGCACACACAAACCCTGAAACTGTGGCTTCACGTGCTCAGTACCCTTGACACGAGCGGAAAGCAGCGGCGGCGCTGTGCCTGCCGGCCGCCGGTGTACTGCCCTGCCCTTCCTCCGCTCCAGAACTGCTGCCTTGTCCAAGGCACCCATGTTACAAAGATAGGAGGGTGGAGCCAGCAGGCAGCGACGAACGGCGGCAAACAACCCTGCCACAGTCGGCCCTGTGCGGCGCTCACGAGCTTGCATGCTGTTTGATTGACAGCAGCTGCACTTTCAGGCAGCATAGCAAGCGATTCGCGGGCCCTCTTCGCCGCCATGGCGCTGGCGATGTCTCGGCGCCTGGGCTCCTCCGCTGCTGCACGCTCCCTGTCGGCAGCGCTGCTGAACAGCTGCAGCGCCGATGCGCCCAGCAATAGCGGGGCTGCCAGCTGCAGCGGCGCCCTGGCAGACGAGTGGCCAGCGGCGGGAGCGGCGGCGGGAGGTCGTCGCCGCTGCACAGGCGCACCAGCCCCAAGCTGGCAGCTTCAATCTTTTGTCAGTGTGCCTGGGGTAGAGGTGAGTTGAGACGCCAATTTCTGGAAAGGAGCGAGGGCATTGGGGGGAAGCCTGCCCTGGGCGGCTTTGGGACCCGTTGCGGAGCTTACTGGTGCTGCCCCCATCAGTGCCCCTTCAGCCTGCTACAGCAGACAGGCGCACTCCTCGCTCTGGCATCGCACGCTTCACTTTCCCGGACGGACTGCCCTGTGTGCAGCAGACCCCCGACAGCCAGGAGGCAGCGGAGCATAGCCTGCCACATTTCCGCAGCCAATGGCGGCCTGTCGTATCGCACGGTGGCAACAACAGCAGCAGTGGCAGCAGCAGTGGCAGCGATGGCAGCATCGAGCCCGAGATGGTGAAGCGGAGGGGCAAGATGGTGCCTGTGGATCCCGGCCTGGCAGCCAAGCTGGAGCCGCTGGCTGCGCAGTGCGCCGTCGCCGACATGGCGGCGCTGGCTCGGGCGGTGGCTGCTCTGCATGCTCCACGGCAACAGGGTGTGATCGACCACGGTCTAGCTGTAGCAGCATACTTGCGCAGTCTGGGGATCGAGCTGCAGCAAATGGCGCAGCTGCTGCAGCGCTGTCCTGAGCTGTTCAGTCGGCCACCCGAGAAGCGGCCACTACTGCTGTTTGGCCAGCTGACGGGGCAGCTGGGCATGACGGCGGCAGCAGCAGCGCGCTGTTTTGAAACGCAGCAGGCAGCAGCCGGTTCACCCAGCTTTGAGCCGGCCATAGTGGTGCTGGCAGCGCTGCTGGCTGCCGGTAGCACGGCGGGCAAGCCTGCCAGTGGCGAGCAGCTGCTTGGGGAGGTGCTGACGAAGCACTCCACCGCAGCGGAACTGTTGAAGTGTACTGGCGAGCGTCTCCAGAATACAATCAACCACCTGCTTCAGCTTGGGTTCAGCAAGCAGCAACTGGCAGCAAGCCTGCACACCCATGGGTGGTCCCTATTCACTCGGCCTCCTGAGCACCTAGCGGAGCTGGAGGCAGCGCTGCAGCAGGAGCTGGGCGGCGACCGCCAGCTGTGGCTCAAGGTTCTGCGGCGGCAGCCTCGCGGGGCTAACTGCAGTGTGGACACCTTCCGCGAGCGAGTACAGGCGCTTGCTGTGGTGAGATAGGCTGCTGATGCATCGTGTGGCATGCCAACGTGGCGGCTGCAGCCACGATGCTTAGGGAGCTTATGGCAGATTGCTTGCCAGCCTACTGCCTCCTTATTGCCGTCTGCAGTGTTAAACCATTGCTGGCTATTTGTTCGAAACCGCCGTTGCAGGAGTTTGGCAGGGATGCGGCGTGCGAGATGGTTAATGCCGCCCCAGGGCTGCTTCCCGTGCCACCCTCTCTATGGCGGCGGAATCTGGCGGTGATGCGGCTGTGTGGCGTGGCAGACCCGCATGCCGTCTCCAGAAATTGTGCTAAAGTGCTAGAATTAGATTGGCCGAATCCTGCCCTGCTGGCCAACCTGCTGGCGCTGCAGCGGTATGCGCCAGGGCAGCTCACTGCCGCCCAGGTGATTGACAGCTGGGCCAGCTATGTGGCAGGCATGTCAGCACAGAAACTTACGGCCCGCCTGCTGTTCCTGGAGCAGCTGGGATTGCTGCCGCGCCTGGTGCCAACCAAGGGCCCTGCCAGGCGGGAGTGGCGGCGCCAGCGGGGACTGCCAGCTAACAGCCGAGCAGCTGGGGAGCCTGCTTTCATCAGCGTTAGAGATCTATCAGTAGCCACACCCGCGGACTTTGCTGGCGTGGTGGCTGCGGCAGCCACGCAACAGCCCTGCGAGCCAGTCAGCAGCAGCAGCATTGCCGCCTTCCAGGCAGGTTTGCCGCAGCTGGCAACGTGGCAGCAGCTCTGGGCACAGGCAGAGGAGATGAGCCAGGAGCTGAGGGGGCAGCTTCCGCAGCAGCTATTGCCAGCCGCTGAGGCGCCTGTTGCCAGCCTCTGAGGCGGCGGGTGAGGAGGAGGCAGAGGGTTGGCTTGGCGGCGGTTGAGGACAGGGATGCTGGCCGGGTGTGAAAGGCCACGACTCGCACCTGTGGCTGTTTCCCTGCTTTTTCTGTGATGACTGGCATTGAACTTGCATTTTAAGCACAATACTGTACGTAACGTCTGTGACAGCAATACAAGCAACCTTCAACAAGCAACCAAGCTCCAGCAAGGCAAAGAAGCTGCGCGGCTGCTCAGCCGCCACCTCAGGCTGCGGCTGCCTACCCTGCGCGCTGCCGGATGCTCCTCCCCTCCACCCGATTCTGCCTGGCGGACTGCCACCCTGTTCGCTCACCGCTCCTTCCTTCAGGCTGCCTGCCGCTCTACCCCGCTGCCCGCGCCTGCTTCACGCCGCTCCATCCGCCGCTCCGCCGCCCACCGCCTCCTCCTCGCCCTCCCCTCCATCCTGCCGCATTGCCCACGCCTCACGTGGCTCAGCCCTGCCTGCCGCCACCCGCCTCGCCGCCGTCCGACCAGTCGCCGCAGTCGTGGCGGCCGCCGCGGCATCGCAGCGCCGCCAGCCGCCCCAGCATCGCCTGGTGCGCCTCAAAGTCTCGCTCGTGCCGCCCACGCTGCACCTCGGGGCTGGGCTTGACGTCCTGCGGCGGCACGGGGCGGGGGCGTGCTGTGCTCCGGTCGGCGCGGCGTGCGTGTGTGCATACGTGGTGTTGTGGGAGGTAGGGTGGGGTGCCAGGCGTGTAGGTGGTGGTTGGCAGCAGCGCCCCTTGCCGGCAGGCGCCAGCCAGCGCCGCCAAGCGTGGCCTCGGCTGCGCGGCTGCCAAGGCCGTGCCTGCCTGCCATGGCCGTGTGCCCCCCGGCCGTGGGCCGCTCCCCTGTCCCCACTACCTGGCCCAGGCCTGCTCATGCGGCCTGTCGGGACGGGGCGGCTGTGACGCGGGAGGCACGGCGGCCCCTGCAACGCACCTGCAGGCGGCGGTAGATGCGCAGGTTCTGCTTCATGGTGGCGGCGGCCTCGGCGCGGCGCCGGGCCACAGAGGAGGCCGCCACGTTGGCGCGGAACTGCGGGGCAGGGCAGGGCAAGGCAGGGCAGGGCGGGAGGCAGGCGGGTGGTGGCGGGAGGCAGGCGGGCTCGGAGTGCTTGTGGTTCAGGGAGGCGAGCAGGCAGGCTGGCAGGCTGGCTGGACGGCAGGTGGCCGGCAGGTGCAGTCAGGCGAGCCGGCACAGGCGGGCGGCTGGGCGGGCCTGAGCGGGCTCAGGGGCCAGTGCAGACCAGCCAACCACAGCCGCAGCCCCAGCCACAGCCCCTGCAGCGCCCGCCCACCCACCCTGTCCAGCCGCGCCTGCCCCTTCTCGAACTCGGGCCGCTGGTAGGCGATCTCCCTGCAGGGGTGGGGGAGGGGCACAGGCAGGCAGGGAGGCAGGGCAAGGCAGGTTAAAACACACTTTGCAGGAGACAAGGTGGCGCATGCGGGCGGCACAGGGTCTCGGTGCGTGCTGCCTCGGCCCATGGCCTTCCTTCCATCACGCCACCACAAGCCCCAGCCCCCGCCACGCTTCCGGCCACACTCCCCGCCAGCCACACCAAGCCCCAAGCGCACCCGCTTCAGCAGCTGGTGGTTTCCTGCAGCCCACTGGCTTGCTGCAGCGCACGCCCCAGACGCCCTAGCCCCATGCCCACGCCCCAGCCCAGCTCAGCCCCAGCCCCAGCCCAGCCCAGCCCCAGCCCAGGCCCAGCCCCACGCCCCACGCCCCACGCCCCCGCGCCCCGCCTCACCCCAGCCGCTTCACCAGGGTGTCGTTGTCCCGCAGTATCTGCCTCACGCGCTGCTGGGAGTGGGAGTAGTTGGAGCGCATGGCGGTGCGGGGCTGCAGGGAGGGGGCAGGGAGGAGGAGGAGGGAATGTTTCACGGAGGGAGATGGGAAGCGGGGGGGAAAGAGGGTGGGTGGGGGCATGGCAATGGTGGGCTGGGAGGCAGGGAGCGGCGGGGATTCGGGGTGCAGCGCATGCGTGTGCGTGTGGGCTTGGAAGCATGTGGGGCGGCGAGTGGGGCTGGCAGGCGGGCGAAGCAGCGGCGGCGGAAGGCCGGCGGGCTGCTTGTCGCGGGCCGAGACACTTGCCACCACCGCAGGCCAGCCCCTCCCATACTGCGCCCTCCACCCACCCGTCCCTCCAGGCACTTAGGCGGCGCGGAGAAGGTGAGGCGCAGGCTGCTGGCGACAGAGGCGAGGGAGGAGTGGGAGGCGGCGGCAACGGGCCGCGGCGGCGCCTGCAGTACGCGAGGGAGTGCAGGCTGGCAGTCAGGCGGCTGCGTTTCGGGGTGCAGGGGTGGGCCAGGGCAAACCTTTGTTGCATGCATGCGTGCATGCCGCTGCCGCTGCAGCAGGGACCCAGCCAAACCGCGCGTCGCACCCGTTTGGCGCTGCCCTCGCTGCGAGCAGGGCTGGCCTGCGCCGCAGCTGCCTCCCCGGCAGCCGGGTTGTGTCCTGTCGCTGCCACCCAATCGGCGGCGGCGGTGGGATCGCTGTGTGCCTTGGTGCCCTCGGCGGGGCCGCCCCCCTGCTCCTCTGCTCCCGCAGCTGCTGCAGCCTCCAGCGCTGCCTTCTCCCCACTCTTCTCCTCCTGTTCCTCCTGTGCCGCCTGCGCCTGCACGCTGTCCCCTGCTGGCGAGTCGGCTCCTGGCGGCTGCTCCAGCGGAGCAGCGCCTCCCGCTGTGGCCTCCTGCTCCGCGCCGCCCTCGTCGCCAGTGGCGCCCACGCCCTGCTCCTCTGCAGCGTTCACGCGCTGCGCCTCCTGGCTGGCCCCGATGGATTGGCTGGCCTCCTTGTCCTGGGAGCCGTCGCCCGCGGCGGCGGCGCAGGCGCCAACTGCCGGCATGGTTGTTGAAGGCGCGGCGGCGCACTCCGGGGCGTCGATGGCCCCCTCCACGCGCTCGATAATCTTCGCAGGCCCCGTCGAGGGCGCCCCCTGGCCCTCCAAGACCGCGCCCTCCTCCTCGGCGCTTTCGACGCCCAGCGGGCAGTTGCGCTGCCCGGCGCCCATTGATGGCTGAGCTATTTCAGGTACCTCCAGCAAAATTCAACGGGTCTCGAGGGCTGGGGCCGGAGATGCCGGACTGATGCCCAGACTGTGTGCCGCAGAGCTGGGGCTTGGTGGCTTGACTGTGGTTAAGCCAAATTATACGACTCGCAATTATGACAAGAGGAGGCTTTTGGGGCCTGCTGGCTGCTCTCTCAGCCTCTCTTCGCGCGCAAACTTTCCACCGCGATTTTTGCGCCCATCTCCACATCATTTCACGTTTTGTGAGGCCCTGGGCTTTCCGCCAACCTGTTAGACTTGACCTGACTGCCTCCGAGGGCTTTAGGTCGGGGTTGGAGCATCGGCCGCTCTGCACTCGCTGGGAGCGCCTCCGTACGGCCTGTGCACCGATTAGGCTGTCATTCGGCATTATCAGGTAGCGCACAGCTCGCTTTTCACGCTCATGCAAACTCCGCCCCTTTGCCCACCACTGGTGCTCCTGCTAGCCGGCATGCGCGAAGCAGGTGCTCGCACGCGCCGCCGGCCGCCATCCTTACCCTCACCCCCCGCCGCCCCCGCCGCCCCTTCTCCCCGCAGGCGCCCGCCGCCCGCCGCGCCCATAACGCCCAGCCGCCAGCGAGGCCTAAACCCGGCGCCATGCCCCCGCGGGGCCCGCTGCTCAAGCGCATGCGCTACTACCTGGCCCAGCTGCCGCCTGAAAACGTGCTGCCGCACAAGAAGCTGAACGCGAGCAGCCGGGCGGTGCTGGACACGCGGCCGTTCCGCAACGGCATGGCGGAAGTGATAGAGGAGATCCAGGAGGGGCTGCTGGTCTCGTACCTGCGCCAGCTGCGGCGCCGCATGAACTGACGGCAAGCACGGGCACTGCAGCTGACCCTTAGCCCAGCCTGTGGCATGGATCCCTCTGACCACCTGCCACCTGCCCATGCTTCCGCCCCGGTCTCCTTGCGCTGCTCCTGGCCGCTTGCCGCCACCTGCCCTCCTTGCCTGGCGTTCCCCCGTCCTGCTTCCATCTGCCTTGCTGGCCCCTTCCGCTCCTTTCCTTGCCCGCTGCTACACACTGTGCTCAATGTTTTACATGTCAACGAGAGTAAATTAGGTTGGGAAAGTAAAATTGCTGCAAGTGGGTGGCACTGGGGGGACCCCGGTGCACATGCGTACAGTAATGATGCAAAAATCATACCAGACCGTTGGTTTCAAGTTTGGCAGGGCGGGCAGCAGCAAAGCTGTGGCACGCTGCGGCAGCGGAGTCACAAGCGCACTCCCCGCATCCCGGCGCGCGTCACCCGCCCTGCAGCGGCAGCCGCTGCACCATATCCCTGCAGGCCGATGGCAGTAGAAAAGCGGGTCAGCAGTGGGCACAGCCGCTACCACAGCCGGCCGGCGAGGCCTCCATGTCAAGAAGGGCCGCCGCCGCGCTACCCGGCCGGCGCCGCTGCAGCCTCCCGCCATAACCTGCGAAACCGCACCTGAGCTGCGCAGCAATGGCGGCAAAGGTGGGCCGGTCTGCGGGGCTGGCCTCCCAGCACCGCTCCATCAGCCACACATACTGCTGCAGCACGGCGGGCGGCAGCGCGTCCGGCCCCGGCAGCAGCTCGGGCGGCGGCACCGGCAGCCGCGCGCCGCCCAGCACCATGCGCGCCAGCTGCGGGCATTTTCGGGGGATGGGGGCGGTCACCACCGGGCGGGCGGCGAGTGAGAAGGGGCCAGGGAGGCTGTGACAGGCTGCCAGCCTGCCAGGAGCCCCCTGCCGCAGGCATGGCAGGCGCGGCAGCCCCTCCCTTTGCTCCTCCCCAAAGGTGAGGGATGCCGCCGCCCCCTCGCACCTGCCAGGGGTTGAAGGGCACCGCGCTCTGGCACCAGGGCAGCTGGAAGGTGAGCAGCTCCCAGAGCACCACCCCAAACCCAAACACGTCCGACGGCGGCGTGGCCAGCTCGCCCTGCGAAGCAACGCGTTTGACAGAAGCGAGCGATTTCCGGGCGGCGGGGCGCATCAGCAGCCTGGAGAACGGTGCCCTGGAGCCCACCCACCTCAGCAGCAACAGCGCAGCCGCGCCAGGAAAATCCCAAACTACCCCCCCGCATGCACACCACCGCTGCTGTCCTAGCAGCAGGCCCACCACCCTAAACCCTTACCACCACCACCGCCACCACCACAACGCCTGGTGGTGGTGGGGGGTGGGGGGGGGGGGGGGCGCCTCACCTGCAGCACCTCTGGCGCCAGCCAGCGCGGGTTGGTCACCTCCTGGCTGGTGCTGTGGTCCTCGCCCAGGATCTTGCTCAGGTTGAAGTCGGCCACCTGGCGAGGGTGGGTGTGGGGGTGTGGGGGTGTGTGAGGGTGGTGTGGGTGGCAGGCACGGGATGCAGGAGGAGCGCAGCGGTGGCAGTGGCGCGTGGTATTGGTCGCCCCAGGCCGGCGGCGGGCCGGGGAGCGGGGAAGGGCAGGGCGAGGGAGGCGATGCGGCTAGGCGGCACCATGCCCCATTGACTCAACACGCCTGCGCACAGGCTCTCAGCCGGCTTCCCACGCCTCCACGCTCCCACGCGACGCGCACACACAAACGCACACACACACATACACACACACACACACACACACACACACACACACACACACCTTGACGTTCCAGTCCTTGTCCACCAGCAGGTTGGGCGACTTGAGGTCGCGGTGCACGATGGGGGGCTGGTAGGAGTGAAGGTACAGCATGCCCTTGGCCGCATCCAGCGCCTGCGGGTTCAGGGTTAGGGTTTAATAGCATTCAGGTAATCGGGCAGGCGATGTGCGGCCTGGTGAGCGCCTCCGGCTGATGGAGTATACTCCATGTGTGTGCTGCAGCGGCTAAGGGTTCGGAACCCGGCTTTGCAGCCGACGGCCGCCAGGCTCCCGCAACCCTCGCCAGCACGCCAGCAAGCCAGCTGCGCGGCTGTAGGGGCAGCGGCGGGGCGGGGCCGCGGCAGCGCCCGCGCCGCGCACCATGAGCAGGCGGCGGTGCCAGGTCAGGCAGTCGGCGGCGTCGCGGTGCCTCCTCGCCTCCCGCAGGCAGTCGGCCAGGCTGCCCCGCTGGCAGTACTCGGTGACCAGGCAGGGCGGCGCCAGGCACGTGCCCATCAGTTGCACGCAGTTGGGATGGCGCAGCGAAAACATGAGGTCCGCCTCCTGCGGGAGGAGGGCGTGGCAGGGGGCCCAGGCGTGGCGCAGGGTGGGAAGCGTGGCGCAGGGTGAGAGGGGCGGCGCGGGGTGGGCCGCCTGCGGCCGGTTGGCCGGCCAGCTGGGAGCGCGCCGTGCACCAAGCGCCACGCCAGCCCAGTGACATATTAAACAGAGGCGATGCAGGAGCGGTGCTGGCAGCGGCAGCCACGCGGCCAGGCAGGCAGGCAGGCGGCCAGGCAGGCGGGCGGCGGCAGCCAGGCGCGCGTACCTCCTGCAGCCGCGTCAGCACGGGGCTGGGCTTCGCCAGCGCCTCCGCTATCGACCCCGTGTCCTGCAGCTGGGCCTGCGGCAGCAGCAGCTTGACGGCCACCGGCGTGGCGTGCCACTCGCCCATGTACACCTGCACGGGGCCGGAGGGGTGGTGTCGGCAGGAGCAGCCGGGTGAGCCTGCCGGCATGCGCGGCGCTGTGCCTCTGGTGTGGGCAACAGCAAACACATCGACACGACTGCCTTGAGCAGCGTGCGGCTGCCGCTCTCCGAGCCAAGCTGGGCGTTGGCTGGCTGCAGGCGCCGTGCCGGCAGCGCGGCGGCGCTCAGCCGCAGGTGTGCAGGGCTGCGGGCAGCGCCCGGCACGCCACAGCTTGTGTGCGGCACCAGCCAAGCCGGCGGCACCCAGCAAGCAGCGCACGCACCCGCCCAAAGGCTCCCTCTCCGATCTTCCCCTGCAGGTGCAGCTGCTCAAAGGGGATGTCCCAGAGGGCGCTGTCCGAGGAGGAAAGCGCGGAGCGGCGGGCCGACGGCGTCAGCGACGTCTGGCGGGACGGCGGGAAGGAGGGCGGGGGTGAGGCGGCGGGCGGATCCCCCGGCAGCTGCAGCTGCGGCGAGGGAGGAGGGGCGGGGCAGGGGGTGTGGTGAGAGGGGGCTCGTGAGGGGAACACGAAGCGGGGTGTGGCGACAGCGTGCGTTTGTGCCTGGGTGTGGCAGGTGGAGCGCAGGGCATCCCGCTGGCTGCTGGAGCGGGCACAGGCGGGGAGCACGGCGTCCCGGGGGCACAGCGGGGCGCAGCAGGGCGCAGCAGGGCGGCCTGCTCGGCAGGCCGCGATGCCGGTCTCCATCCGTTGCGGGAGCCCCCGCCGCACCTTGGTCCGTATGAAGGACAGGAAAGCGTCGTCGCTGTCTCCCTCTCCCTGGCCGCTGGGCCGCGTGGTGTTGCTGCAGCGAGGCGGGTGGCAGGTTGGGAGACTGAGAGGCGAGCAGGCAGGCATGCAGGCAGCAGGCGGGGAGGCCGGCAGGCTGGCGGGGCAGCACTGATACTCGGTGCAGGGCAGCAGCAGCAGCAGCAGCAGCGGCGGGGGAGGCAGCAGCGAAGCACCAGCCGGCAGCACCGCAAGCAGGCGGCACAGCCGCCGCACCTGTGGAAAGGGTTGCGCCCGCCCGGCAGCACGCTGTGCGCTGTGCCGGGGCTGCTGCCGTCAGACACCTGCCGCGCAAAGGCGGGCTTGGCGCCGCCGCCGCCGCCGGCGCTGCCGGCGCTGGCGGTTGCGTCGTGCAGGCTGGAGGCGTCGTCACTGCTGCCTTCGACTTGCAGCGCCACGTCACCTGCCGCTGCGCCTGCCGCCGCTCCGGCCCCGGCCGCCGCCAGCGCCGCCGCCGCCGAGGGCTTGACGGCAAAAGCAAAGGAGCTGGTGTTGCCGCCAAAGGAGTCTCCCTTGCCCCCGCTGGCGCCGCCGCGGCCGCCGCCCTTGCCGGGGTCGGCCACCCTGGCTGCGGCGCGGCGCCGCCGCCACACCACGCACGCCGCCAGCGCGGCGGCGGCGCCCAGCGCGGCACCAACCGCGATGCCGGCGATCGCGCCGGCCCCCAGTCCGGAAGATCCGGTGTCAGGCGCCGGCTCGGGGGGCGGCGCCGTGTCTGCCGTGGTGTTGACGAGAGAGTAGAGTGCCTTGCCGGCGGTGTAGCTCAAGCCGCCGCCCATGCCCAGCCCTGCGACGGCGCACGGCGAGAGCCAGTCAGCGGAGCAAGAGCAATCCGTGGGTTACCGGCCGCTTCTGATGGGCGGGCGGGAGCGAGCGCGCACGGCTGCCCGCTGCGCCGGCAAGCGCAAAACCGAGCCACCCGCCCTGCAGCTGTCTTGAGGCGCACATGGCCACACACACCACACACTACCCGTCCCCACACACCCACAAATCAGGTCAACACAACAAACACACGATGCCCGCACACCCCAACCCTGTCCCCACACACCCACAAATCAGGCCCGCGCACCACACCCACACCACACCCCAACCCTAGCCCCCCGACACCCACCCGGCAGCTGCATGAGGTCGACCATGGCCAGGGCGGGCGTGACGACGGTTAGGTTCTCGTACATCACGCCCCAGCCGCCGCCGCCGTTGCTGGGCGCCGGCGCCGACACGTTCTGGAGCACCGAGGAGGCCTGCAGGGGCGGGGCGGGCGCGGGACGAGCAGGCAGCGGAGGCAGCGGCGTCACTGGAGGGCGGTGTGGGGCTGGCTGGAGAGAGAGAGAGTGTGTGTGTGTGTGTGTGTGTGTGTGAGACAGAGAGGGAGAGAGAGAGAGAGTTCTGTGCGTGTGCGTGGATGTGTGTGTGGTGGGGCCCAGAGCCCTGGCCAGGCTGCCGGGCGGCGCAGCAAGAGAACGGGCGAGCCTGGGCAGGGCGGCGCGTGGGCATGGGCGAGTTGTGTCGGCCATTCCGGGCAGTACCAGCGGTACCGTGATCGCACCTGCTGGAACAGGTTGGGGTCCGGCACCACCAGGTAGCTGTCCAGGAACAGTACCTGCAGGAGAGAAGGTACAGGATAAGGTACATAAGGAGTCCCAGGGTGCGGCAATGTGGTAGGGTGAGGGCCAGCGGGGGCCGGGCTGCTGGCGCCGCCCCTCCAGCCGCCAGCCGCCGCCACCGCCACAGCCTCCCGGGCAGTCACGCTGCTGCCTGTGCAGCCACATGCCGGACGCTGCACAGCTGCTGCCACCGCCGCTCTCCTCCGCAGCCTCTGCCGTACGGGGCGGTCGGCGCCGGCGCTGCTTGCTGCTTCCCGGCGCGGGCGGGTGCCCACCTGGTGGCCGTCGGCGCCAGTCACTGTAGGCCACAGGGGCGACCCCACCACCTGCACCCGCACCGTGCGGTTTGCAATCGCCTCCTCCCCGTCGCCCACATCTGCAGCCGAGCGCCGCAGGGATGGGGCACAGGCAAGCGCCAGCGCAGGATGTGAGGCGCCCCGCCATGCAACCGTTGTCTGTCGCCCTGCTCTGCGCCTGCCTCCTGCCGCCTGCCACCAACCAGCCCCCCGCTGCCACTCTAATTGCCCCTGCAGACATCCCCCAGCCACTGCCCCAGCTGCTGCAAGTCCGAGAAAGCTGGAAACACGCCAGCCCCACACTCACTCTCCGAAATGATCCCCTCCAGCACCAGCGTGGAGTCCTCATACACGTTGATCAGCCCAGACACGTTGCTCCAGTCCAGCACCACCGGGGACGACGGGTCGGCTGCAGCAGTTCAGGGTGGGTGGCAGGCAAGTGGTAGGCGGGGCCGACAGCGGCATGCCGGCCGGCAGCAGCTGGAAGCAGGCAGGGGTGCCGTCCCGGCCACGTAGTGCAACCATACACCAGCCGCCGCAGCAGCCGCTTTTGCCACCAACCCTTCTCACCCGCGCGCAGCCACACCGCGCCCGACACATTGATGGGAAGCGTGTACTCTTGAAAGTGGAAGTCGCCCGGGGCAAAAGCGATGTTGCCTGCAGCAGGGGGAAGGCAGCACGCGGGGAGGCGGGGCGAGGCACGGCGCAGGGTGAGAGGGCAGGCCAGGCAGGCAGGCGAGAGGAACGGTGGGTGGCGGGTGAGAAGAGCGAGGCTGGGACGGCAGGGAGGCGAATGGGGCGGCGGGGTAGGTGAGGGCAGGCACGCCGGCAGGGCAGGCACCGGATGCGGCAGCAAGCAGCTACGGCGGCACACCAGCCTGGTCCTCCTCCCTTCCATACCGCAAGAGGAAAGGCAAGCGGCGGCGCACCCGACAGTGTGATGTTGCCCACTCCAGAGGCCAGGGCCTGGAGGAAAGCAGCGCCCGTGCCCACGGTAGCGCTACCAGGGTTGAGGTCCCCCCATTGGGGCTCCTGCGCCCAGCCGGCGGCAGGCGCCGTCCCTTGCGCATCGCCTGCACCGGGGGAGCGGCAGCGGGGGAGCAGCCGGCGGCCGGCCGATTGGCAGCAGGCAGGCGAGCCCGCGCTTCCGCGGCTGCCAGCCTGGCCAGCAAATTTTCGGCGCCGGCATGCCAGCCGCTGTGCCGGGCTGTTTCTGCCGGCCTGCTCTGATGGTGCACGGCTGGGGCCGGCGCCCTCACCTCGGCTCGGCTCCGGGGAGGCGGCCGCCTCTGGCACCGCCAGCGGGGCATCCTCAGGCTGAGCCAGGGCGGTGTCGCCAGGCGCGCCGCCGCCCGTCTCCACGTTGCTGGCCTGGCCGGTGCTCGCCGGCCCGTCGAGCGGGGCGTCCAGCCCAGTGCCCGACCCGTCTGTGCTGCCATCGGTCTCCCCTTCGCCGGTCTGCCCCACGCCGACCGCTGTGGCGGTCTCCCCCACTCCGGTTGCCACGTCAGCAACAGACTCTCCGGTCTCGGATGCCGCGCCGCCGCCGCCGCCAGACACCGCCCCCAGGTCTGGCGCTGTGTAGGCTCCGTCCAGCGCAGCTGGAAAGTAGGCGGAGCAGTTCTCGGACGGCTGCAGCAGGAGGCGGGCGTGGCGGGCAGGGTGGGGCGACGCGAGATGGCAACAAGGCCACCGGCAAAGCAGCGGTGCGCGGCGCAGCGCGAGGAGGCGTGCGCTGGCCCTGCCTCGGCCCTGCTCTGCGCCTTCTCTCCCCCCCAATCCACCACACACGCGCACATACACACATGCAAACACAGGCATATAAAACAGGAACAGTACATACACACATCCACACGCATCCCCAGCCCCACCACACGCACCTGCGAGCCTTGCAGCAGCGTGAGGTCCCCCGC